TTTAAAAAAATGAAGGACTTTTATACTCGAGCCATCAGGGTTGAAACTGTGGTCCTCAGGCAGGGATGTCTGGATGACGGCAGAACAATAACTCATTTCTGAGTGTTAGTATTTTGTTAATTACAACATGAACAGCACATAGAAGGGAATGAAGAGTGAAATAAATCTAAGAGCTCATCAGACTAGGTAGCTACGAAACTAGTTCAAATAAAAAGAGATGTCAAGGCCTGGTACTGGCCGTGGCCAGGTAGAGCAGGCTTCTTGCACATATGGCTGTAGTTATAGAAGCCATAACTCACAGACTTGTTCACCTGGAAACTCTGAGGAAGTCTACAAGGGAGAGGGAAGCTATGTGTATGAAAATGCTCTGTCTCTCTGTCTGCAGGAGTGAAAACTTGGAAACAACAATCGGGGACTGACTCAGTGAATCGGAGCACATCACAGAGATCCGTGGGCATTGAGATGACAGCAAGCGTGAACCGGGCCTGTGTCTGGGCATGGGAAGTCATGTTCAATGAACGTTTTCTCTAGTGAGAGGTTAATTTTCTCGTTTAGGGAGTGAGACGAGGAGCAGATTATTTTTGTCTGATGAGCCCTGGTGCAGACAACAAAGTGACACCAGAGAGAGGTTAAACAAAAGTCAACTCCAGAGCTATTTTCCTCTGGGACCCGGAGCAGAAGTGGAGGTCCCCAGACCAGGGACTTACGGGCATTGTGTCTTTAGGGACTGTCTTGATTTCCTTGTGCTGGTGTAACAAAATACCAGAGAACGAGGGGGTTTAAAGAGAAGAAATGTCTCACAGTTCTGGAGGCTGAGAAGCGCAAGATGAAGGGAATGGCCAATTTGGTTCCCCGTGAGGGCTTGTCCCTGGACGGCTTCTCACATGGGGGACGGGGTGAGGGGGTCTCAGATCTCTCTTCCTTATCTTCTAGGAGAAGGAATTCCCCTCTCATGACCTCATCTAAGCCTAATTACCTCCAAAGGCCGCACCTTCTAAAACCATCTGCTGTGATTTGAATGTGGCCCCTAAAGTCCATGAGTTAATCCTTAACGCAGCAGCAGCGTTAAAAGGTGATTGGGTCACCCCAGGGCTCAGTCCTCACCAATGACCTAAAGCCATTGTCACCAGAGTGAAGGTGTGACTGTAAGAGTGGTTTCCGATAAGAGGATGAGCTCAGCCACCCCACCTTCTCTCTTCCCTGTGTGCTCTCTGGGCCTCCCACCTTTCTCCCTGGGATAAGGCGGCCAGAGGCCTCGCCAGATCCAGGTTGCTCAACCTGGGATTTCCCCGCCTTCAGAACCGTCAGAAATACATCTCTGTTTGGGGAGATTATTCAGTCTCTGGTATTTAACTTAGCAGCACAAAATATACACCTTTAGTGGTCGGGGAAAAGAGCAGGGTACAAACAAGGGGCAATCCCACCAACAGATGGTAGACAGTGCTCAAAAATATCCAAGGTCAGGGGAAAGCCCAAGAGCTTCCCCAGTGGGACTGTCCTGGTGCAGAGGCATGGCTCTGATGGGGAGAGGCTGGGAGCCCAGGGACTAGCCCACACATGCACAAATAAACAGCCATCTGTTCAGACCGCATCACTGACAGTCAATCATGGCCTCGAATCCAGACCTAGCGTTTGAAGCTAAAATCAAACTCACTCATTATCACACGTTACACCATCTTGTATACAACTCACAGCTTACCGTCAACTTGAACCAGTTTCAGCGATGGTCTAGTGACCTAAGGGAAGAAGCCCTGTGACCCGGCAGGCATTTGATTGGATGCCCAGGTCCCATGAGAGGCATTACCCCAGCATCCCTTCTATTGTAGTAAAACGGAAGAGATAACACAGCACCATTGACTACAGCATACCAATGTCTATTTAAGCACTAATAAGAATTGTGAATTAAAAAGGGTGAAATAGACTATTAGGTTTGTCTCTTTTCTCCTACAAGATTATAGAGACAAAAATAAACATTTAAGAAGTACTGCAGAAGATTAAAAATATTTCTTGAACACATACTATTTTCTAGACCCTGTGGTAGTATATCACTCCACTTTCTAATAGGCTAATTAAATACCACAGTTGGTCGAATTAGTAGATGAGAAAAACATGGGCAGGCTATATATGACACCAAACCTTTAGATCCTCAGTTTGAGCCACCAAAGACAAAATAAGACACACTTAGGAACATGTTCTGCATCTTCCTGGTATAGTGATTTACAAAATGCCCTTCAAGTTCAGAATCGTGATTTCAAATGTTCTGAAATCCCAAAGAAATTTCATTTAAAATACTAGCAAAAAAAAAATGCAAATAAAAGAGAAGACATTTATCATAATCCTATCTACTCAACACACGGTTTGTGTTTGTTTTCGAGGTTCCCCCACCAGTTCTGGTCCATAAACCCAGATGGAGGATTTTCAGAACGAGTCTACTTCTATGTCAACTCCGATTTGTGCATGAAAGTGGGCATTTCCCCAAATTGTTTTTATGTCTCGGCCAGGCCCCCTTGGGAAGAGAATTAACTGTTTCCGGAATGTGGAACATGGCTTTCATTGTCTCAAAAAGAGATGGGAGTATTGTCTCCTTTTTTCTAAGAAGCCCCTGGGTCAGGTGCTTAAGCAAATTAGAGAGGCATCACAGATTCAAATAAACGGCAGGTTGCAAAGAACCTCTGGATCTTCGCTCTCAGTCTGCCCCAGTGCCTAACCTCCTGGAGAGAGCCTCTTTGGGAGTTGAAGTCATTGTTTCTCACGGCAGCACTGAGTTGTGGGGCTAGAAAGGATCTTAAAGACCATCTGACTAGCACCTCTGACCTGTGGTTGCTATCCTCTGCTTCCAGGACTTGGAAACGCGTGGCCAGAAGGCGCCAGTGGGGTCCAGACACAGCCAACTCTGATCAGGGAGCATGGCCAAAAGAAAGCAGGCTAGCCAAGTTGGGCACTGCAGGGGGGACTGGGGACCCAGATGCACCTCGGGTTCCAAGCTGAGTGCTGGATGGAGTTGAGTGGGCAGACAGAGCACAGAGAGAAAGCATGGCCTGCTCCTGTGACCCCCCAGGAGATCTGCCAGCCGTCCCCCAGTTCCCGCTGCATGTGCAAGTCCCACACGGCCCCTATCTCTCAGCTGCTCTGCAGCTCCTGGGGACGTTCTGCTTTCCATCTATTCACACTGCTGACCTCTATCCCCAGCTGGCCCCTGCCCCCATCCCTACATAGCAGTCCTTGCCCCCGAAGGAGGTCCTGACTCCTGGATCAGATCATCCGATTTAGGGCAGGGTGAAGGCCTGCAGCTCCCATGGTGGACACTAAAGGAACTGTCCTTGCCTCCCATTCCAACTCCCTCCCCAGTGTTCTGTTCTGTAGCCATTGGAAAGTTAAAAAAAATACGTTCCCCAGTTTTCCTTGCAACTGGGCCTCTGATTATGATTCGGACTCAACCAATGAGCTAAGGAAGTAGGAGATTTCAACTTGGACCTGAGCCAGGAGGGCCTGGGAGAGGGCACAGCCGTCATGACTCAGGCTGGGACTGCCCCAGAGGCAGTGAGCTCTGTGGTCACCGCTGCCTGACAGATGGCTTTCTGCTGGGAATCGTCCCTGGACTTTCCCCCTAATGTGGACTTCTCCAGCTCCTACAGTGACTTTGTAAAACGTGGAACACTCCCTCATAAACCCCTTGGACCGGCCAGGGTGGTTTCTACTGTGTGAAAGAAAACCCTTTTTCAATGTGCCCGCAGATTGAGGTATAGTTAAGATGCACACGACTATTTAGTAGTGGCCACTTATGGGTGTCCTGTGATCTTCATCTGCAGTTTATTTTCATGGGTTCCACATCTTCAGAGTCAATTAAGCCATACTGGAAATATTCAGGAAAAAAAAATCGTATTTGTACTGAGCATGCACAAAAACTTATACTTGTTATTTCCTAAACAACAGAATATAACAACGATTTATATAGCCTTTACGTTGCATTAGGTGTTATAAATAATCTAGACAGGAGTTAAAATAGACGGTAGAATGAGCGCAGGATAGATGCACATGACACTGTTTTATCTAAGGGACTTGAGCATCTCTGAGTTTGGGGATCACAGGAGGGTCCTGGAACCAAGCCACTGTGGGTGCTAAAGGACAGCTGTTTAAGGATGCATGTGTACCTGTGCATATATGTGTAAATGTGCATGTGTGGAACATCAGAGCAATCCAAGATGTAGCATCACCCTTATTTTAGACATAAACCGAGACTCAGAGATGGCGACCGTTTTCCCGTGGTTTTGTAGGTAGTAAGAGGCAGACGGCTGTTCAACTCTGGGTTGGGGCCCAAATCATGTGGATTATAATGTCGACTCTCCATCCGGTAAAAGGGGGCTCAGTCATGTTCATGCGTATCTGTTCCCGGTGGTCTGCAAGCCCTGTTTATCTGTGGCTATTGTTTTAAATGCCACTTCGACTCCTTCAAAGAGTGAGCAGGTGGGACTAGGAAAGCTACACCCGAGGCTCCCCAGGTGCGTGCATGCACACCTATCATCTGGAGTTTCCGAAGGAGTCACCCCAAGTGCAGGTGTCCGACCCACCCCAGCCTAACGGGATTTAAACTAAGGGAAGAAAGAGATCAGATCACATTTCCTCAAACTGCCAAAGAAGAGATCAGGCTTTGGTCTGGCTCTCTGGGGCCAGAAGCCTGCTCCAGGCCCAGGCTGCCACCTGCAAACTGCTGGCCCCCGTCAAGCAGGTCAGGGTGTGCCCTGGATGCCCGCCGTTTGTCCCTCCCGTTAGTGTGGTCAGCGTTTCCATTGAGGACCGCAGTACCAGGGCTTTAGTTTTAAGTCAGGCATAAAAATGGGCCTTGAACTGAAACTTGGAAGCTGGGCCATTAGCATATTTGAAAGGAAGCCAACGGGTCCTTTTTGTTATTCTCTGGGGCAGAAGGGGCTCTTCCCCGCTCTTCCAAAGGACAAAAAGGGCCTGTGTTCGGGGCATTGAAAAATAAGCACTAAGCGTGGGCGTGGGGTGTGTGCCTACAAGAGCTCGCAAGAAAGCTGTCTTGGGGCTGCGGGGATGATGTCCGTGGTGAACCCCAGGATTGCTCTCTCTGCTGGAGCACTCCACTATGAGAACCAGCAACCGCGGGGGGACTTTGGTTGAAAGGAGCTCTGGTGTGAGGGGCCAATCCACGGCTGCCTTCCAGAACACCCTTAGAGGAAAACGCTGACCAGTCAACTGGCAAGCAGTTTCTGCGTGCTCCACACACACACACACACACACACACGCACGCACACACGCACGCACACGCACACACACACACACACACACGGTAGAGAGAGTCAGAGACTTGGGGCTGGGGCTGGGAGTGACAAGGGAAGCATATTTGACTGAAGTAGAAGAATCGCCTGCCCCAGGAGATAACAAGCCCAGGCTGACGTGGGCCCCTTGCTGAAGAAAGACCCAGTCACGGATGTGCTCCACAAGTGGAGGTGAGGCCAGGCAAGCCCACCAAGGACTGGGCAAGATGGGGGTTGGGGTGGGCAGGGGGCGGGGCAGTGGCTGTGGGACCCCTCACTAGTTCTGTGTGCTCTTGGCAAATTTCTAAGCCTAAAAGTACAAGAAACTATATGAAAACTTGAAATAACAACAACAACAGCAGCAGCAGGACTGCAATGTTGTAGATGTCATAGAAAGTAATGCATGAGAAGTGTTTTGCACATAGTAAATAGCGATTACCACTTTCAAATGGTGGGTACGTTGGACTATCCAGCCTCTGATCCTGTCAGTCAGTCTAACAATCTGATAACTTTCCTCTTAAAATTATACACATTCCATTAGCTCGTTCCTCTGGAGATCCTGAACCACTACAGTGAGATTCATCCATGTTGATGAGTATGACTGTGGTTCACTGATTTATGCTCTGCTGTATAGTACTCCATGGGGTAAACACACCACATCTTGTATTGCCGTGGGACATTTGTTTTTGTTACTATAGACATTGCTGTGTTTAGTGTATTAGTCCATTTTCCATGATAGTGATTAAATACCACAGTTGCATTTTTCATACACACATACATCCACACAAGAATTTCTGTGTTTAATACCTAAGAGAGGGATTTCTGGGTCCTTGTATTATATAATTATTTTTCAAAGTAGTCGTAACAGTTTATATCCCCTCCATAGTTTTGACCAACTTACACTTCTACCACTAGTGTTTAAGTCTTTTGTGTTTCCTGCCAGTCTACTGGGACAAAATGATAGGCTCTTACTAGAGCCTAAGTTTCCCTTTATCTAATTATTAGTGACGTTGATAAACTTTTCATATGATTATTGGCTAGTCAACTCCTTTTCTGTGAAGACACTGTTTCATCTTTTGTCCACTTTTTTTTCTGTTGGGTTTATCTGTTTTTATTGATTTGCAAGAACTCTTTTTGTACTGTGGACATTAATCTTTGGTGGTTATGTATGTTACAAGTATTTACTTTTGGTTTGTGGCTTGGCCTTTTCACTTTTTATCACGTCTTTTGATGAAGAAATGTTCTTTTGATGAAGAAACTTGGTATTTGATAGGGAAAACCTTTCCTCCTCCCAACCCATAGTTTAATGTAATCAAATTGATCATTTTCTTTTATTGGTCAACATTTTGGGGTTCTATTTAAGAAAATCTTCCTGTGACATCACCATAAAGATACATTTGTCTTTAACTCTCCTCTAAAGTTTGACCTTTCATGTGTGCCTGATCTACCTGAAATTGGCGTTTGTCTATGGGGTATGACAAGGATCTAGTCCCACACATTTTAATCATCTGTCCCAGTGTCGTTTATTGGCCCGTTGACCTGTAGAGTTGCTCTTTTCTGTATGTACCTGGCTGGGTTTCTAGGTGTCTCTGTTCTATCAGTTTGTCTGTCTATCCTTGCACTAATCCATACTGTCTTCACCATCAGAACTTTAGAATCAATCTTGCTGTGAAGAGAAATTTCTCCATCTTTCTCTTCACAGTGTCTTCTCATCTATTCTCAGTTCCTAACTTGCAGTATGATTTTTGAGGGAACAAATTTTTTATAGATTTGTCCCTTTAAACACCTATCATTCGCTCGCACTGCCGTTTACTTATTTATTTAGGTTTTATTCTGTTTAGGCATTCAACTTATGAATATGCCATAACTGATCATCCATTTCCCCAATAATGAATGTCGGGAGGTTTCTCATTTTACTCCTTGCATCTAGTAGTGGCATTGGGTCACATGATATGTATGTCTTCAGATTTACTCAAATTTACTCCGTGGCTCAAAATGGTTCCGCAATGTAGCCGCAACAATTTATGCTGCTCCCACTGTGTACGAATTCAAGTTGACCCGTCTCCTTAGAAATGATTTAAGACTTCTTTTTCCTTTGTTTTTTTCAAACTGAAGGGGGTGCACTACTGTCTCATTGGTGTTTCAATCTCTACTTTTCTCATTCCATGCAAGACTTTATTTTTGTATGTTTGTGAGCTATTCAATTTCCCGTTTATGCCATTTGGTCGTCTTCCCGTTGGATGGTCTGTATTCTCATTGACTTCCTCATGGGTCTCTTATAGTCTAACTACTAACCCTTTATTGTTTGTACTGGTTGGCATCATCCGTTATCTGCCCCAGTACTATAGATCAGGGGTTGGCAAATGATGGCCCCTTGCCCATGGCTTAGTTTTGTGTGCCCCTGAGCTAATCTTAACATAGTCTAATGCGTTTTACACTTTTTAAAGTTTACATTTTTAAAGGTAGAAGAAAGAAGAGGAGATAGGGAAGAATAAAAGCAGCAGTTGGGGTAGCCACAAAGATGTGGCTACACAGCCTGAAGTATTACTATTTCCAGAAAAAGTTTGCTGACCTTGGCTGTTGACTGTTTTCTAACTTAGTTTCTGTTATATTTTTTTGCTGTTTTTGAATAGAAGCATTTAATTTCAATGCAGTATAATACTTCTTTTTAAAATCATACTGTTGTAAAATACTGTATGTCCCCGTTTCTGGCTTGCTGATTTCATTGGTCTGTCCATGTATCATGATATCAAGGAATTTAGTAGGGTTCCAGAATAAGAGCTGATATTTGATAGGGAAAACCTGTCCTCCTCCCAACGCATAGTATTTTTTTTTAACAGTCCCAATCAAACAACCTCCTCCTTCAGCCACAACGATCAACGTTGACTCAATGCATGAACTGGTTTTATATCTACACATTTCAACTGTGAGTATGCACGATTTGAAGGGTATTTTGTCGTTTTGGTTTGGTTTAGTGTATTCTGGCTGATTATCTTCACTGCTGTTCCTGAAAGGAAGAGAGTATTTTCCAACCCAGGGTGCAAGTGTGTATTAGTGATCATTAGGAGACTTGGTAGAAGAACCAGATTCATAGAGGACATCTGTTTGGCTTCCTTTGCCCTCTGTTTGCTTCCTGTGCAGGAGCTGAGCTCTTAATTAATTAGTGCTTATATGGAGTAGTAATACCCCCCTGAGCAGAGAAGCAGCTAGTTCTGAAAAGAGCAACTAGTCAATTGCTGTAAATAGACGACAAAATGTACCAGGTTTTATTCCTTGAATATCATCAGGTGAACAAAACCCGTCTTCTTGCGTGGAACTCATGTTATCATTCCAGATTCCAACAACTCCAGTGTTGGAAGTGATTCACGATCGAGCCAAAGGACTGCAATTAGATTTTAGGTTTCTATCTTTCATGTTTTCAAGGCCCAATCTACAGACCTTTAAATTCGCACATTGAAAGCCTTTCAATGATCATTAACCAATTAGTGGACTTGTCCAGCTGTCACCACAAATCAGTTTTTAAAGGTTCCCATTAACCCCTGCAGTGTTCCCTCACGCCTGTTTGTAGTTAATTCTCCCCACCCACAGGAAATTGCTAATCTGCTTTCTGTGTATAAAAAGACTTTTCTGGATATTGGAGATAAAAAGAACCATATACTACGTAGTCTTCTGCATGCAGTTTCTTTTACTGTGTTTTAGCATAATGTGTTTGAGGTTCATTTATGTTCATTTATTTTTTCCTTTTTTTTTTTTGTTAGGGAGTATTCTGTTGCTTGCATGAGACACATTTAGTTCATCTTTCACCAATTCGTGCAGACTTGGATTGTTTCTATTCACTGTTTATGAATAATACCGCGCTGAGCTTTTGCGTGTACATCTTATTGTGGTTTCATTTCTCTTGAGTAGATTCCTAGGAGAGAGGAATGGCCAGGTCAAGTGGAAAGTAGAGCTTCTAAGAAAATACCAGAGTGTTTTCCAACACGGCTGCAAGATTTTAAAAAGGTGCACCCACCGGCAACAGATGAGGGTTACAGTTGCTCCCTGCCCACGTCACACTAGAATGGTCTAGGGCTTGTTTTTGAATTGTTGTTGCTGTTTGTTTTAGAGGATGGTCAGCCCCATAGATGTGCACTGGTATCTCTCTGTGGCTTTAATTTGCAATAGTGAGTGACAAATGGTCTCGAATGCCCTTTCATAAGCTTATTAGACATCTTTATTTACAAATATCTGATAGTCTATAAGTTTATTAGCCATTTGTAGTCACGGATATTTTGTGAAATGTCTATTCAAATCAACTGGCCATTTTTATAATGGGTGATTTGTTTCCTTATCGAACATGTTTGGAGAGTTCTTCACGTGGCTTGGATTACGTTCTTTATCAGATATATGAAGTGCAGATATTTTCTCTCAGTCTATGGCTTGTTTCTCCTCTCCCCTGGGGGTACCAGGGATTGAACCCAGGGGTGCTCAACCACTCAGCCACATCCCCAGCCCGTGTGTATATTTTATTTAGAGACAGGTCTCAATTCTCACTAAATTGTTTAGGGCCTCGCTAAATTGCTGAGGCTGGTTTTAAACTTGTGATCCTCCTGCTTCGGACTCCTGAGCCTCTAGGATTACAGGCCTGAGCCACCACATCCAGCTCACTTTCTTACCAGTACCTTTTGAAGCACAAATATTTTAAAGGTTGATGAAGTTCAGTTTATCCGTTTTTCTTTTTTCTTTTTCTTTAGGATCTTGTTGTTGGTGTCACTTGTGAAAATGTGTAACCCATCTAAGGTCCTGAAGATTTTGTCTTATGTTTTCTTCCCTAAGTTTAATAATTTCAACACTTATGTCTGTGATCCATTGTGGGTTAATATTTTTTTGTTTGTGGTATGAGATAAGAGTGTAAGTATCTTGTTTTGGTTTTGGCATGTGGCTACCCAACAATGTTTGCTGAAAGGATTACCCCTTCATTGTTGAATAGAATGGTCCGGAACCTCTGTAGAAACTCAATTGACTGTAAATGTGAGGGTTTATTTCTAAACTCTTGTTTCTGTTCCATTGATCTCTGTTCTTATCCCTGTGCTCCAAGTTGTCTTAATTAGTAAGTTTAAAATCAAATAATGAAAGTTCCTAATTTGTTCCCCTACAAAAACGTTTTGTCCATTGAAGGTCCTTTGCATTTTCATATATATATATTTTTCACT